GCATACCCTGAAGCTGTTGGATTAGGCCACATGAGATTATTGATGCATTACTGTATTTTTTTTTTCTACTAAAACTGAACTCCAGACTCCTGCACAGCCCCATGGCCTTTCCTCTGGTCCAGTCAGTCGATGTCTTGGTTTAAGAATGTGGCTCTGAAGTCATCTACCAGTTCTACAGCGGGTGTCACTCAGGAGTTACTGGGTTCTTATACCAATCACTCCTCTAACAGACTCCAGGCAAGCAAGTGTGTCTACTTTAGATGGCTTTCCTTTACTAAACTGATACTGCCTTTTGCATGTCCAACTAATCTCACTAATTTCACTTAACTGGTCTCTTACTAAAGTAACAAAAATTCCCATTTAAATAAAAACAAAATTCAAATGGTGCAGTGGCTTGAATCAGGTCTTTCCCGTGGGTTCACAGGTTTTCATGTCTTGTACCTGGAGGGAGTACTGTTTGGGGAGGTTATGGGACCTTTAGGAGGTCAGCCTGGCGGACAGAGATGGGTTGCTAGACTTTGGGGCTATATAAAGCCCATGGCCACGTCCAGTCACTTTCTTATTCCTGGTCCACTAAGATGTGAACAAACACACAGCAAGCTCCGACTACCAAGGACTGGCCACCACAGCCATCAAGCTTCCTTCTCGCAGAGCTAGCCTGGTCCCTCTCACACTGTAATCTCACCACTAAGTTCCCTCTGCCAGGTACTCTGTCAAAATGACAGGAACGAAATTAATACTGTGGGAACAAAGTCTCAAATAAAGGCAATAATCGAAAGTCTGTTTTCCTTAATGGACATATTAAATGACTAGAATATTAATCACAAGTTATTGATTTTTGAATTAAAGGTAGTTGCAGTTGTTTTGAATTCATAAGTTTAGAATTTGTAGTAATGACACTTGCTAATGAATGTAAGTTATACCTGGGAGGGGGGGTGCTTGTTCATCAGTGTAAATGGGAAGAAAAGAAATATATTTATCTATTTAGGAGAACTGTTTTCAATGTAATTTTTACAGTCTGATTATAGAATGAGTACAGCTCAAAACTACTTACACTTGAACCTCGTAGGCTAATATAAAATTTATAAAATTATTAATTGTATTCACTTAGTACTAATACTTTAATCTCTTCATGGGTGACTTGCATTCCAGTTGTGCCCAAATAAGCTTCACATTTCCTCCCTGAGAATATGAAGCACTCTCATGCTCTACCTAACTGTAAACTGCAAGAGAAGGGAACAGCCTTCGGCATCCAGTTGCCCCAAGTAGGTGAGGGCAGGAAGCTTAGTGCTCCTGAGTGCGAGGAATTCCCTGCTATCTCCAAGCCTGATCTTCAGGAGCCCTGGGCTCCTGCTAGGAACCTTCTGGAGCCAGTCACCAGGAGAGCCACACAGCCTGTCCTTCTGTAGCTGCCTGTAATGTCACTTTCCCAGAATGAACTCTGTAGTAGCTGTGCTGAACTCTGAAATGATTCCCTTTTCTAAATTTTCTAGATGTGAACCATTCTCAGAGGAAAACGTCTAGGGATTCAGGAGTAGAAACTGGTGTTTTGCTGTCAGGTAGACCTCTTTGGGGCTTCTGACTATTACCATGCCAAAGGTAGCTACTATTCATAAACAGCATGTGTTATGACTAGGCTTGCACGGAAGTACAGTCTAAACACTGCAGAAAACCAAGACTGACTGGCTTAGGAAACACGTCAGCCGATCTCATCACTGTATCACTTAAAGATGGCAGCTTTTTAGCATTAGACTGAGTTTTTCAATCTTTGATGCAGGGGAAGGGGCTTGGTCCTGCCTCAACTGAATGTACCAGGCTTTGCTGACTCCCCATAGGAGGCCTTACCCTTTAGGAGGAGGGGATGGGGGGTGAGTGGGGGGGGGGCACTGGGAGGAAGCAGGAGGAGTTTAGGATCATTTTTAAATACTGAGTATATATAAATGTTGAATAGGTAGGAAAAGTTCTTGAGGTAAGTTGAAACAGCTTTCCTGGGTAAACAGAAACAATGCAAATGTATCTGAATTTTTCCATCTCATATTTTTCTTTACATTGATAAAAGCATTACAATCATTCAGAGATCCAAAATAGGAACTGCAGTATTTTCCTTGATTCTTGCAACTTTTTCTCTTTTATGCTTAATTATGGCAATCAACTAAAGTTTTCAAACATCATTATCAACTGTTTCTTTCTTTCTTTCTCACCCTACTGTCCCAGATTGCATCAGAAAGACCCTTTTCTGGAGCTCTGTCTCCTAAACAGCCTCTTCTTCTAGACGTATTCTTCTAAACTCAGTTCTAGCTGATACTAGTTGAAATGATTTTTCTCTTCCGTATGCAAACGTGAAGCGGTTCCTCCTGACAGCTCATTACAGTCTTTAAGATCAGGCTCAAGCTCTGTACTGCCTTCCAGGCTCTCTCTAAGGCTTCATTGCCATCTAGCCCCTTTAACTAGTCAGGCTGCCGACTCTGTTGAAATACTTGGTTTCTATTTCTTTCCCCTCGGGATTTCTTCCATGAATCCTCTTTCCTCCCTTGTTCTTCTCTCTGTCTGCTCCTTTGCCTAACTCCTCATTCATCTTAAGATATTAATATGGATTACAGCTTCCATTTTGACAATACTTTCCCAACTATACCTTTCCCAAGACTGAGCATGTTGATCTGCCTTGCCACAAGAAAGCGTTCTACCCATTTAATGTGCATATTTTCAAAATTTCCATACTTACACCATTTTTCCTCAAGTCACTATTCTCTGGACTTTTTGATGTCAGGGATTTTATAAACATGTTTATCAGAGATGCCCAAACAAAGTCTGAACCAACTGCAGCCTAGACAGAGTCTGAATCAACTACACATTGAGAGAAAGTCACTGCCTTTCTCAAAGAACTGATGGTTCCTAGAAGCATGCTAACCAGACTGAGCTCTTAACATGCCATTTCAGACTCCTCTCAGCAGACCAGAGCACATCTTTCCATTTTGTGTACAGGACCGTTCGCCTCACTCCTGCACTTTCTGTGTGTACCCTGGACACCTCAGTTGCTCTTCTGTTGCTGGCACACTGGCCAGTGGCCCTCTCTGAGACGCCATTCCTCTGCTTGTTTTGCTGGGCAGTTTTTCTAGCACTCTCTCATCTATCTCTGCTCTGGGAGATCTAACCACTCTGTCTTCTTGGCCTTCACAGAACTTTCCACTTTACTTTGTCAATTTTAAAGCTGCCTTTATTTATTTTTTTTTTTTTGTTAACGCACAGAGCTTCAGGAAATTGTATACTGTATGTGCTTTATTTTCTATATCACAGTGTCTGGAATCTAGTGGCACCCGATCATGAACTGGATCAGAATAATTAAAAGGAAGTTAAAGTTATTTTGACTACTCTTAACAAGAAAACAGGTAAGGGGAGGGGCTAACTTTGCAAATGCAAAAATGAAAATGTATGGGTTTATCCATCTTGGCATAATGCTATAGTGCAAGAATTTGTCTTCCTCCCAACCAACCTGCTCTTTATAACAATGCCGTTCAGAGTGCTCTAAACTGTCTAACAGATAAAACTCTCCGCATTCTCCCTAACTCTAACCCACCTTTGGCAAGAGAACCAAGAGTGTAAAGCAAAACCAAAATGAGCTGGAAATAGGTCATGGATAACAACTTCCAAGGGTAACTTCAACAGCAGAAATTCAGACTGCTTTGACTGGAGTTCCAGCCCTGCCACTGTCCTAAACATCATTTATCTGTCAATGTTTTGGTATTTCATCTGCACAGTAAGAATCATGGCGGTCCGTATGTCACACTTTTGAGTGCTGAAGGAATTGGAATCTATGTAAAGCATGTAGACTACACTAAAGCACAGTACACAGAAAACAATTATTATGTGTTTGTTATTATTATCATTGTCTTAAGTGGTGATTATTTAATAATCTAGAGTTATACTCAGTTCCTAGAGTATAAAAAGGGGCTTGAAGATAGAATGTGGCTTTAATATGACTTTTAAATATTACATATGACTCAAGTAATAATAAAGAGCAGCTAGGCAAATAAATATGCCATAAAAGTACAGGGTTTGTACTAGGCTGTAATTGAGATCCTTTAATTCAATGTATCTATTTTGAAAATTTACTTATAATTTAATCTCTCCATTTTCACCTTTATAAGTACCTTAATAACCAATGATTATCAAGAATTTTGAAATTAAAATTAAACCAAAATATCAATTTGGCTTATAGGTATCTACTATATTATCAAGATAGCATTTATATATTAATTTCTATGATGCCTCCCACCTCTAATTCTAACTCCTAAATTCTTAATTTTCTCAGAGTGTTATAAAATTAACCATATACAAAAAAAAAACCTCTTTAGAATTTATACTGATATGTTGGTTTGGGTTAGAATTCTATCAGATTTAAGATGAAGATCCATAAAATTAAAAAATGATGTATTATAGCTCTAAAATCATTACTGTCATTGCTAAAAGAAGCAGGTACTGAAATTTTAAAATGCTAAATACAGTTGAAAAATTTGATCTTCAAATTTTATATAATTCTATTAATAGAAATCCCAGCTGAAAAATCACAAAGGCGATTTCAGATATTTTGATACAGCCTATAATTTTTGTTATGTGAATAGAGTATGACTTGGCTACTTCTGAAAATACAGCCAAATCTTGATTAGTCTTAGTCTATAGAAATATGGATAGTTGAAAATGGACCTCTTCACATCTTTAGCATCTTTCTCAGTGTTCACCACAGTGAACTTACTCTAATTTGCACTTTGATTTCTTTTCCTTCTTAATCAATGGAATGGTTTAATTCTAACAAATAATACAATAGAGGAAGGAAACTGTAATACATAAGCAGTCTGAGCAATCAAGAGTTGGCTGTACAGTATCATATTTACCTTAAGAATCAAACTAGAGGAACTAAACAGCCTCATCCTACTTCATTATCATAAATAAACACCAAGCAGGAGTTCCTATGCCTTAACAGTCCTAGTCAAGTCTCCGAGTACCTGAAAGAACCCTGGTGGCACAGGACCTACTGGCATGCCATCTCCTGGGGGCATGTTTCCTAGCACGGGGCTGGGAGCTGCTGCAGCACTCTGCAAAGAATAAAGGAGAGACAGAGCTACATCATTACAGAGAAGGCACAGGAGGACCACAGGCTGCTCAGATGAGCACAGATCGCAGGGGGCTGCTTTCGCACTCCTGGGAGCAAAAGCTGCTCATTTCCCACTCGACAAGTGAACTGAGGTTAACAGTGTGATAAACAGTGTCAGTGGCTTTAACGGACCTCTAGAAATTCCGTGAAGGCGAAGACCTTTCATAAGATGACACATTTGAATATATATTAAAGACTGACAGTAATGTGACAGATGATAAACGTTTAAATAAATGATTAATTTTAAGGTACAGACATTTGAAATGGCAAACGTTAGAAATGAATATACAAATAGGTAAAGTCTGTGTACGATAATCACAGACAGGGATTAGGAGAAAGACTTTAGGTTATACTTAGATATGTCACAAACAAGTATAATTAATTTCCCGCCTATAGACAGCCATTCACTTCAGTATGTCATAATCATTACTAAAATGTAAAGTATAAGGTGGTTAGGATGGTAATGAAAACAGGAGAGTGAAGAGGAGAAATAAACTAGATTTGAAGACACTGGTCTCACACAAGTTATAAAAATCAGACTGAAAAATTCAAAGTTTACTTCATTTATAAACTTTTCATGAAATCCTAGCGTTTAATTAAACAGGAATATGAAAAAATAAAACCTTCGGCTTAGATTCTTTGTAGTCAAGTCAGGATTAAAGATATATATATATATATATATATATATATATATATATATATATATATCAGGTATGCATAAAATTGCTCTGCAACTATGGATTTTATTTTCCAACTTGATTAAACACAATTTAAAGTCCTAAAATTACTCAAGAAGGGACCCGATGGGGATATAAACTAGTACCACCTTTATGGAAAAACACATGCAAGGTCCTCAAAACAATCAGAAACAGAGCTATTACACCAGCTGACACTCTTACTACTGTGTATACATCCAGAAGAAAAGAAATCATTGTGTTGAAGAGACATCTGCAATCCTGTTCTGTCTAAAGTGCTGTTTATAACAGCCAAAATATAGAATCAACCTAAATGTTCACTGATAAATGGATGATTAAGGAAAACATGGCCCATATACACAATGGAATTTTAATTAGCCATAAAAAACGTGATAGCGTGAATGAACCTCGACGACATTATGTTAAGTTCAAACAAGGCAGGGTGGAGACCAACAGCACACGATCTGCTGCAAATGTGGAATTTAAAGAGCTGACCTCGGAAGTGGGGAATAGCAGGTGGTAAGCGGAGGATCAAGGAATAAGAAACAGGCTGCTGAGTAAGTCCAGTGTCACAGTTAGATGTGAGGAGCGAGTTCTGGTGTTACATTGAATGGAGTGTAATTGTGGCTAGCAACAACGTATTTTATGTTTCAAAATAGTAGGAAGAGAAGATTCTGAATGATTTTACTGCAAAGGCACCAGAGAAGCTGAAGACACATCGATTTGATTCTTAACAGCTTTGTTGTGAAAACTATTCCAAGCAGGTTCCACAGTTACGTACATGCTGTCCTGCCTTACTATGTACACAAGTGCATCTATCCAAGCATTGGTAGCCCACGGAAGATATGGTATTTTAGCATGTTCTACTGCATAGGTCCTGGATTTTTTTAAATAACAACAACAAAAAAAAACATGTTTATTCCACAAAATTTGAAGTTGTTCAGAGCAATGATTTTCACAATTCCCAAAGATATGTAGACTAAACTGTGATTGTGTGAAATACTGCTTATGAACCCAAATGTAATTTCAGCCAAAGAATATGAATACAAAAGAGAAAACTACTTCTCAAACACTAAGGTATAGGGACATACTCTCAGGAAAGGATGCAATGTCATTTAGTGACTATTACCTGACTGTTGCCCTGACCAGCTACTGTTTCATTTTGCACAGTGTCACACATGCTCTTTCTAAAATGAAAATAAACTGCCTTTCCACTTAACTAAGCTTGCATAAAAGTTCAATACACTGTTGGGGGTGCAAATTTACAATCAACCATCCTGATAGCCTTAAATGCACAGTTACAGCCAGGTCTAGGAAGTGGGATTTCGTCTATGTCCTTGAAACTGTAACTCAAATCTATTTTTTCATCTATTCTTAGTTGCCCCAAAACTACACTGGTAAGTTTTTTCCTATATTAGAAAAATAAAACCAGTTCATTTGCACCAATGGACTGGTAAAGAATGTATATTGTTTTTTTCCCCAACTACATTGTCTATAGGTATTTGTTACTTTTCCTGTGAAAGATCTTCACAATATGTGTATCCTATGATATGCTTGCTTCATGAGTGTTTATGCTCTTATTTTATAAGTTCAGGAAATCACTTTTTTCGTTTTCTCACCCTCATCAAGGGTTTTGAGGGTTAATACAGCAGCAGACATAACAAAAATAAAACCCTTGGTTTACAGCTTATTCCTAGCAAGGGGAGAAAGACAGTCAACAAAACAAAAAAGGAGAATATTATTGTGATCTGCTCCATGGAGAACAGAAGAACAGGGTAGAGCCCTCAGTGGTCAAGAGGACAGCGCTGACAATTTTGAAAGCACTGTGAAGACACAGGAAGCCCCGGAAAGCGACAGTGACTCCTGACTGACATAAATGAGCCTTTCATTGTTTTGTTGTTGTCTTCTCTGTTTCTGTCTGTCTGTCTGTCTGTCTCTGTCTCTATCTCTCCAAGTTTGTATGTTCTAGAGTTTAATATAGAGTCTCATGTAGCAGTTTCTCATAGTCCTGACTGGCCTAGAACTCACTACATACCTGAAGCTGGTCTTGAACTCCTGCCCCTCCTGCCCTTCCCCCCACTCACCCCCCCCCCCAGCCCCCAGGTGTGTGCTACCATTCCCAGCTCTTACTGTTATTAGACTATCCTTACATTTTAAGACAGGCCAAATTCTTATTGTATGAGGGTAAGTGTGAGGAGCTTCACTTTCAACATCCATGCTGGTTCACAATGGTAGGGTTACCCAGAAACGCAGGAGTCTGATGCCTAGAGGACTCACAGCACAGGGCACAGGTAGTTATTTGGTGTGAGAATAACTTTTAGTCCTCTTTTAAAGATACAAAAGGAACACAATATTAGAAATGATCCAAGGCACCAAGTCCTAGTCCAGATCATGCTGATAGACTTAGCTTCGTGGACCACAGGCTGAGCCATACTGTCATTCACTTTGCTAGGCTCTACTCACAAGTCCACTCATGCTATTGTACTGTGTGACTCAGCTTAGCACACCATTTGGTCCGCTAACAAACGCTACTCTGATAAATACCACAGATGTATACTAATTAGTACTGTAAGTACTGTCAAACAACAATCCTCCAACTGACTACCATGCTAATTTATACACAGCGTCTATTTAAATATTGTAAGTATTGACTCTGTAAACTGAAGAATCAAGCTGTTTGGATTAAAGCTTCTAGAAGGAAAGGGTTCTAAGTTTCTTGGAAAACTTGTTTCAAGTTTACTTATAACACACGAGACAAATTTAATCCATTACCTAAGAATGAACAGAAAGTTTTAGCTGGGCCTAAGTCAGAAGTGTGTGGGAGTCTGTGTAGCTGATGACAAGAGAAAACAGCTTAATTATATGAAAACTAAGGATCAATTTCACTGGAATTGCACAAATTTTTATAAAAGTATCATGGGATATCCTTTATTATATAATTGTTTTGGGTTGATTTTTATAATAACTTCCTATCTTAATAAAAGAAAAACATACAACATGGCTTTAGGATATTTCTTGTAACTAAACTGAATGTGTGAGACTTCCATTCAGATACAAACATATCTTTTTATTGTCTCTTCTACTGGATTCCTTTGTGTGCTTTAAATACGTATTTTTCAGATATATACATCCTAATACACATTTTATTAAGTCATTAGTTCTGTATTTGAATGTTGTAGAGAAAAAGAGATGCCTATACCTCTAAGAGGTTTCAAAACAGTAGACAAAGCTAAAAATATTCATCTATCATAAAATATCACAAGCTTTTTTCAAGACTTTATACACCTAGTAACTGCTCCTTGAATTACTAAGAGGGCTAGAGAACCAGCTCTGACTATAATGTGAGAGACAAGATGTAAAACGTGTGTTTGGAGGAACAGAAAGAATATTAAGGATGTGTAGAAATATAAAGTAATAACTGTAAAGATAAGAAGGGGGTATGACTTAGAGGGTATGGAAGAGGATTGAAAGGAAGGGTAAGAAGGGGAAACAGGATTACTGGTTTTCATTACTAAGTCATGTGCACGATTTCAGACTGATTTCAGTTGTGTCTCCTCCCAATCCAGGTGTTGCCAATGTGACTGGAGTGAGCGGTAGTGCCTCGAAGAGGAGATGGGGTACGAAGCGCCCCGTTTCTAACAGCTCTATGTATCCTCATAAAAGAATGTGGGGAGCAAGTTCTTTCTGTGGCCTTCTGCCTTCCTCAAACAAGGACACAGCGAAGGTCCCCCCACTAGGTGGCAGTGCTCAGTCTCAGACTTCCCAGTCGCCAGGCTGTGACAGAGATTTCTTTTTCTTTCTAAATTTCCGGTCTTAGATACTTTGTTATGGCAACACAACACACTAGCCATGTATAGACATTTTAAATAAAACCTTAAAATGATGGTAGTAGTTATTGTGCTATACCAATTATAATACAAGGTACACTGAAATAGTCTTACATTTCTACTCACATTGGATTTGAAGGTCTCAGATGCCCAAACTAATATGCTATAGTTCTTCATATCAGCTCAGAGAGAATGAGTTAAAAACTAAACTCCTACTTCTCCCAGTCACCACTAGCCGCAGCCAGAGTCCCTGGATACCAATATTTCATCTACCTATATTTTTGCCATGTCTGCCTGATAGATATTGGTTGTCCTACCTGGATGGCATTTCCGTCATTCACCCTAACCCATGATGATAATAATGATTACTTGCACAGATCTCTCTACATGGGCCTGCTCCAGTATATAAGAGCTACATG